TATATATATATATATATTCTGCTTCAAGGCAGATTAAACAAGCCACTCTTTAAAAATTGAATGTGGCATGAACAAGAGGCTGATATCACTCCTTCATTTAACTCCTTGGTCAAACTTAACTTGTACCATAAACCCCCAATTCTGGTGGTTTCTTTAGGCCTGTCACAATGTCAGTTGTTGTTGAACAATATATTGTCCCAGAAATTGCTGAGAGAAATTATAGTAATTGTAAGGCCATTTCATGCCAATGATATAATGTTGATTAATAGCAAATTATGGCAAGTACACCCTTTCAGTTTGTAAAATGAACTTGTAATTCTTAAGCATATTCAGACATTAGAATGTTAAAATCAAATCAAATTTATTTATATAGCACTTTGAAAACAACATCCAGTTGACCAACGGGTATAACAGTTTTAAGCAATGATTTAAAAGTAATGGTCATTAGCTGATCTAACATTAAAAGGTAGACTATTCCATAATTTAGGGGCTGCAACAGTAAAAGCACGGTCACCCCAGCATTTGTATCTGACCCTAGGAACCTCTAAAAGAAACTGGCTTGAAGACCTGAGGGATCTTGTAGGTTTGTGCCAGTGCACTAGTTCAGTGAGGTAAGATGGTGCCAAACCATTAAGAGCCTTAAAACAAAAATCAACAGCTTAAAATCAATTCTAAAACGGACTGGAAGCCGGTGGAGAGAAGCCAGTACCGGGGTTATATGCTAGAATTTTCTAGTACTTGTCAGAAAACTGGCGGCAGCATTTTGAAGCATCTGAAGACGAGAGGGAGGACTGGTTAACACCATAGTATAGAGCATTGCAATAGTCAAGGCAGGAAGTGATAAAAGCATGGATTGCAGTCTTAAAATTTATTATTTTTTCTTGCTACCTTGGCTGGGGAGGACAAAAATATAGAGACACCTCTATAGGTGGACTAGTTGAATGTGCACTACCAGTCAAAACCTTGGACACCCTTTCCATCCAACGGGAAAGTGTGTCAAACATTTCACTGGTAGTGATGTAGGCTACAATATACAGTATGTGAAAGCCACTTTTGTTAGTTTGTTTTTTGCAATATCAGATTGGTTCACTTTAAACCCCTTTCTCAAAATTTTTTTTTTTTTTTTTTTTTTTGGTCGCAAGCTGCATAACTTTGGTCTTTTGGTAGTACCATTGTTGTTCTTCAGGCTCAAAGGTCAAGGTCAAAGTGTTTATTTGTCATATGCACAGTTAGGAAACGTGTTTCCCTGTACAATGAAATTCTTACTTTGCCGTCCACATGAATGCCACAAAATACAAATGAAATATAAAATAGATAAATAAGTAACACAAAATCTAAGGCACTTTAAGCAGCAACAAATGCAGCAATATAATAAAAAAATATATAAGAATATAACAGAGAATGTATGTTGCATGGGAGCAGCATGTGCAGCAGTCAACAGCCAATGTGCAATTATGCATGTGCAAACTGAGAATGTAAACAGTACATGACGTATTTCCTGGTAATAAACTCCTCAGCTGTTTAGGAGTCTGATGGCAGAGGGAAAGAAAGAGTTTTTCAGTCTAGAGGTCCTGCATTTCACACTTCTGAACCTCCGGCCAGAGGGCAGGGAGGTGAACAGTCTGTGCTGGGGGTGGGTGGGATCTTTGAGGATGGAGGCATCCCACATTTGGTACAAATAAAACAAAACGTGGCAGTAACACCTTTTTAAAAATCATTGTTCAAGGTTTCTTTTTTTAAATATCACTAAATTCACCTGCCCAGTTCGTCCTCTAGTATCAATATACCCAGTTTGTGTTGTCATCCATTTTGAATGATCAATGACATATTTTAGAAATACTTTAATCATCTAGAATGAATGATACTTAACTGTTAGAATCTTGACTCAAAATGTGTCTTTTGGCTCAGGACCCTCAGGTGTATTTTGCTTTGGCAAAAGCAAGAGCTGTGTGTTTAGCTGTAATTGTGTCTATACAGGATGTGAAATGTCTGTTCCTTTTCTAACCTAGTTCTCTCCTCTCTCTTCCAGTGCCATGAATCAACCTGGACAACAGCTGCTACCCACATAGAGGTCAGTTCACCTCTCTTTCCACTTGCTTTTGTCCAGAGGATGCTGGGAATGTGTCGCGGACGCAGGAAGTTCCTGGCGGCCTCCCTCGCCCTGCTCTTCATCCCAGCACTCACCTGGCTTTACCTGTCAGTTGGGAGCTTTCAAGGCAAGTACATTATAATAACTGCAAGTGATAAAATGACACATTGGCACATGTTAACCATGTCACCGAACACAACACCTGGGTTTGTGGTACTTGCCAGAGTTTTGAGTCTGCTCTGTATCCTCTGTGTACCATGTACAGACCTTTGTCACACAAGATAAACACATCAATATATTGAGATTGGTGTTTTATAACAGTGTACAAGTTTGTAATTGTAGCAAGGGATAGATGGCTGAGCCCTCCACCCCCCACCCCAATATAAGGAAAATGGAAATTTGTCACCCTATTAATTGCAATGGCCAGTTATCAAATACCTCGAAAAGCTAAAAGAAAGGTCAGTATTCAGGACACTGACTCCAAAACTCAATGGATGGTCATTGAACTTCATGTGGATGTATATGCCAAGCAGCACCACCTCTGTGCTTGGCTTTCCAGTGTTTGTGATTGTTCTGCATCCACCACATTCAGAGTTACTCACCAACAGGTCTACGACACAGATAAAACACAGACTATTTAAACTGCAGCATCACTGATACACATGTGAAATACACTGCTCTAGATGAACACATGTAATTGTCAGACAGGATGATATGAGTTTCAAACAGTCATTTTTGGAAATATGGTTTGCTATGAACTGTTCTTATTATGTTGTTGGTCATAATGTGCATACAGTAAGTATTCAGACCTCATCACTTGTGCACTTTAATGTTTTTAGACAAAAGTTTAAATACTGTCATGTTTATCCATCAGTCAGTACTCGGTAATGGAAAATGACAACATCAAAACCTGTTTTTTGAAATGTTTGCAAATATATACAAGTCAAAAAATTGCACTGTTTTGAATGCTGTGCGGTTAGAGGGCTTTTCTGAAAAAAACGTAGAAAAAAATCAACTGGACTTGGTTTTAGGTCGAAGACGTTTCACCTCTCATCCGAGGCTTCATGGGGGAGGCGACAGTGTGGTGGGTAGAGCAGTTGTCATACTTGGCCAATAAAGGTGATTATTATCAGTTCCTAAGACACAACTTGTCATCCATCTACAATCCTGTTTTGAGATCTCTGCCCAAACATGCCCACCAGGACAATAGGCGTCGGTCGACAGCTGAGGATTCAAAGACAGGTAACAATGCTCACCGATACTGGACTATAAGGACTCAGTCGTTAAGTGACATTGTAGGCCTTCAAAGGATGAAACACCACCGATGGAGATAAATATCTCCAACTCAACACCAGTCAGGCAGAACTGATGAAGCCTCTTGGATGAGAGGTGAAACATCTTCGACCTAAAAACCTAGTCCAGTTAAAAAAAAATAATTTCTACGTTTTGTTCAGCTTACTATGACCTGGATGACTGAGAATCTGCACGGACGTCTTACAGGGCTTTTGAAATGAAACAGACTATGGACTTTGCCAAAGTTCTTCAGTGTGTTGGTCAGATAGACTTGCTTGTTAGTGCTGGAGTCAGGTGCTTCACTTGGTAACTTTTGTAGGTGACAGAATAAAAGGTATTTATAAAATACTTTGTTTTGCAAAGCTAATTATTAAGTCATTAACTCCAAAAGCTACCAAGTGCTTGCTTTTTTTGAAGATGAACTCCAGCAGAAGATTAATCAAGTATATGCTTGTGTTTTTTTTCCCCAATAAAATAACTCATTAGCTACTATTATCACAGAAATTTATTTTTGGCTTTGTGAATTGATCCAGAATCACAGGAAACTTGCAGCTCTATTAACAGTGCAGGAATACATTAGATGACAGTAACTGTATGTCCACAGTTTTGTGTGGGTGAATCCACAAAGGCTCCCTAAACCCCTATTATATGAGTCTACATTTAATACAGAAAAACAGTGTATAAGCTGTCGAAGTATTGTTACATACTGTATTTGCCATGTTACTTATGGCCACATTGTTACCATTTGCTATTACATCTCATAATTCATATATGAGGTTTTGAATCAAGTTTTGGAATGAGCAAACAATATGAGTGCCAGACATCGTAATCAAGGCCCATAACTGACATAAAAGCTCTTCCTCCTTTACTTCTTTCTTTTATAACCCCATCTTTGACAAACTACCAATTTAAGGTTGATTCCAATGAGGATATGTAATAATTGTCTTCCATCACTAATAACATCTTGATCAAACCCTTGAAAAGACATATTTGGAATTACACATTTTACAATAAAAAGGAACAAACGTGTATTAATTGTTTTCCTCTGTATGCCATGTCTTAATATTAGAGATCCAAAGTTGGCCCAGAAAGTCAAAAAGACAAATTTCCTGTGGATGAAGTCAAACTTTCCTCCCTGTGCTTTTTTCTGGAGGTGGTATATTAATGAATTACTGAGGCCTGTCCAAAGCTGATTACTTCCTCCAGACAATATAGTCCAGAAGTTCTTGGAGTCGTTTTAAAGACTGAGACTGACAGGATTGAAGTGCTGCAGTATTGGCATTATTAATTATAATTTAATTGACAATTTTAACTCAGGGTCACAGTCACTGGAGACTGTATATGTGAATATTCTCCCATGATGCAATAGTCACCAAGGTCTGCAAAGCAGTTATTAGATTTGGCAGTAAATTCCTGCCAGTAGGG